CATGTCACCCACTTGAAAGTTAGCGGATCTTCGATGTTTGTTGGCCTGGTTAATCATCTGTTCTTGTGCTTTCTTTAGGTTTTCCTTAACTTTCTAGATGTCTTCCTGCAACAGAACTGCATATTCACGAGTCCCTGGCGGTAGCCGTAAAAATTAATCCCTGGTCAATACATCAATTGGACGTCGTGGCTTCCACCCTTTATGTAGTGCATTAGGAGTGCATCCGGTGACAGTTTGGACGCTGCTCTTGTATGCACTTGCTATTTTTGGTAAGTTATCGTCCCAATCAATCTGATCGGGCCTGACATACATGCGCAAGAGCTGTTGGCACAAGCGGTTCATTTGCTCGCTTTGCCCATTCGTTTCAGGATGGCGTCCTGACGACATCTTCAAACGAGTGTCGTATGCCTCCATTAGCTTTTGCCATGGCATGCTTGTGAATCTCACATCTCTGTCAGATACAATAGACAATGGGAATCCGTACTCAGTTATCCATCGCAATTGAAACTTCTCGATCACAAGCTTAGTTTTCGCTTCAGCAGGCAAAGGAATAAACATTGCATACTTAGAGAAACGATCGACTACAACCATCACTTAACTGTTGCCATTTCGACTCTTGACGAAACTCATGAAGTCTATGGAGATGGACTCACCTGGTTCGCTAGGAATCGGTAAGGGCCTTAGTAGAACAAGAGGGTTCTCATGTGGTGGTTTGTTTCTCTGACATACCAGACAAGTACGCAAATAGGTCAGTACATCTTCCTTTAGTCATTTCCAATCGAAGCGTTCTCTTACTTCTGCATAAGTTTTCTTCAAACCAAAATGTCCTGCAAAGTCATAACATTCCCCAATCAGCAGACTTTTAATCTCTTCTTTGTGAGGAATACACAACCGTTGTTCAGTTTCATCTGTCAAGAAAAGCAATCCATTGGTCATCTTATACATGGGTAACCGGGCAGGATCCTCAGTGATAAGGTCAATGATGGGTTTCCCGATAGGATCATTAGCATAGCCTTGTCGAATCTGTTCTTGCACATCATTTCCTATATCCAAGTAAGAGACAATGGTTCCAAAGAAATCACTTCTCCTAGACAATGCATCTGCCACAACGTTAGACTTACCTTTGATTGTCTTCAACTCAAAGTTAAAGGTGTCGAGGAAAGCAGACCATCGTACTAGTTTGTTAGAGAGTCTTGATTGAGTCTTTATCCATTTCAGTGTCGAGTGATCTGAGTAGACAGTGAAGTGCCTCCCTAACAAGTAGTGTTTCCCGGATTTCAGTGCACAGACAAGCGCATATAATTCCCTTTCGTAAGTAGAGTCAGCGACCTTCTGAGTAGGAAGTATGGCAGACATGAACTCAATAGGTCTGTAACCCTTACCATCATCCTGCTGTAGAACTGCGCCAATTCCATACTGACTTGCGTCAGTGATCACAATAAAGGGAAAAGATGGGTCAACAATTTTCAAAGCAGGGTAGTGAGTCAGTGCATATTTTAACTTCCTCATTGATGACTCACAGTCTTTGTCCCACAACCATATGGTTCCTTTCTTCAGAAGTCTTCTCATGGGAGCAGCAACTAAGGAGAAATTCCTAACAAACTTCCTATAATAACTGGCTAACCCAAGGAAGGACCTCAACTCAGTGATGGACTTTGGTTGTGGCCAATCTCTAATCGCTGAAATTTTCTTCGCTTCCGGTCTGAGTCCTTCTTCATTGACTATATGCCCTAAGTACAACACTTCAGGTTTTGCAAACTAAGACTTCTTTGGGTTAAGTTTGAAATTACCTTCGCGTAGCTTACCCAAGACGAAACGCAAGTGTTTCTCGTGATCCTCCAGCGTTTTGCTGTAGACTAGGATGTCATCGAGATACACAATTACAAACTGATTCAACCACTGTCGAAAATATTCGTTCATAAACCTTTGGAAGGTCGCAGGGGCATTCGTCAAACCGAAGGGCATGACCACAAACTCGTAGTGTCCATACCTGGTTTGAAAAGCAGTCGTGTGTTGATCTTCAGGCGCCACCTCGATTTGGTGGTACCTCGACTTCAGATCAATTTTGCTGAAGTACTTGCATCCCTGCAGCTGATCCAACAAGTCGTCAATTCATGGTAGGGGTTCAACGTTTTTCACAGTGACGGAGTTCAACCCTCTATAGTCAATGCATAGTCGCAACTCACCTTTCTTTTTGGGCACAAATAAGACAGGCGCTTCATAAGGTAAGGAACTAGGGCGAATCCATCCTTTGTCAGTTAATTCCTGGAGTTGCTTGCGCAATTCCTCAAGTTCCCTAGGCGACATTCAATAGATAGGGCCCTTGGAAGTCTTACTTCAAGGAATGATCTCGATAGTGTGCTTGATAGCACGCTACGTGATCCAAGTAGGTTCCTGAGAGAAATCTTTATACTCATCTAAGAGTTTTTGTATCGATGGAGGATAAGATGGCGAAGACTCACCAACTTCCTTTACCAACACCATCATTACCTCCTGATCCAATTGCTTCTTCCTGACCATCAATTGAAAAGTTTGATAGCTCATACAACAGAAAGACAGAGTAGAGTCAGATCCAAACTTATAATACAGTTTGAT